TTCTGTCCACCAGGAACAGCTCTGGCACGGCGTCCACCCTCGCGTCATAGTAAAAAGTAGTAAATGGGGGGCTGAGGGAGGACAAAATGGGGCTGTCGGGAGAAAAGAGAGACCGCAGGCTGCCTCCGAGGCTGACATTCCCCGTCGGGCTCTGGGGCGAGGAGGAAGAGTGTGGCTGACCTGCTCTGAGCACCGTGTCCACAGCGTACGTGTGGGCTGGAGTCCTGCTCCCAGCCTCCTGCCCGATGTCTCCGGGTGGCTCTTCACCCCCGTCAGCTCTCCGAATTCCCGCCCAGCCCGGGCTGACATTGGCCGTAGCAATCCCTCCGTTCCCGGTTCCTGCCCTCAGCCCTGCTGCACCTCACCCCAGCCCAGCAGCAGGGAGAGACCGTCACGGGCCAGACCACTCAGTCTTAGAATCGTAGAGCAGTTTGGGTTGGAAGGGACCTTTGAAGGCCACCTAGCCCACCCCTCCTGCAGTGAGCAAGGATATCTTCAACCACATCAGGCTGCTCAGAGCCCCGTCCAACCTGGCCTTGAATGTCTCCAGGGATGGGGCATCCACCTCCTCTCTGGGCAACGTGTCGTTGTGGTCTAACTTCAGGGCTGAGAGTTCATGAAACACTGTGAGGAGCTCTCTTATTAAATCAACAGAGAGGACTGAGTGCGGGGCTAAGCCCGGGAACTGTGTGCCTGAAAGCATGTCTGTGCTCCTTATTTTTTCCAGCTGTGCTGGGGAATCTAATAAAGGTGCTGCTGTCCCTGCAACCTTTCACCGAGCTGCTCGCCAGGGGCTGATTTATGGCATCAGGGCCCAACGTGTGCCCTGGGAGGGGTGTGCTCCCTACCTGGCAGGACCAAGGGTATCAGCTCCCATCTAGGGGCTCCCCCCCTTCACCCTGGGGAATTTCCAGGAGGAAAAGCACTGAGGACAGGGGGAAGGTGGACAAAGGACCCAAACAATCCCTGGCACAGCAGCACTGGGTATAGCACCTCACCAAAGCAATCAAGGGCATCGGTCTTGGAGAAGCCACAATGCTGGATCTCCGTCGGGGTGGTGGAACACGCTTCTTTCCTTCCCTGCAGCATCCCCAGATAGCGCTGGGCGAGGGCTAGGGAAGACGAGTCAGGGCTGGCGAGAGGCCGAGTCATTCAGCGGCAACCGCTCTCTGTCCTGCGGAGGATTTGCAGTCTGGGCTTGGGGTCTCGGCACACAGAGGCAGCACATCCCGACCGACCCCGGACATGCTCTTACACAGCTTGCAGGGCCCGTGAGCCCGCAGTGCTGGCTCACACACCCAGCTCATCAACTTTCCCTGAGTACTTTCGTTCCCTCCAGTGATGTTAGCGTAACCGCAGGACAGTGTTTTTATGCCCGGTGAAGCGGCAGTTGCAGGGCTTGTCTTAAATTCACCTCTCGGGAAGTTACTGGGGGGTATAAAATTACCGCATATCCCCTGCAGCCCGGCAGCTACCCAAGGTGCCGGCGCTCCCGGGTAACCCTTGGGTGCTTTCAGACAGCTCCCCCTGAGCAGAAAACACCTTTGAAAATAAACAACACTGACAAAAACATAGTAATTAAATCAATCAGAAGAATGCATATCATCATCTGAGGTTTAGGGCTACCTTGGATGTAGGTACATGCAGCATCACAGAATCACAGAATCACAGAATGGTTGGGGTTGGAAGGGACCTCTGTGGGTCATCTAGTCCAACCCCCCTGCCAAAGCAGGGTCACCTACAGCAGGCTGCACAGGACCTTGTCCAGGCAGGTCTTGAATATCTCCAGAGAAGGAGACTCCACAACCTCCCTGGGCAGCCTGTGCCAGTGCTCCGTCACCCTCAGAGTGGGTGCTTCACACTGTGAGTTACGTGTGCGTAGGGGCCGGGGGTGGGTTTTACACAGACGAGTTTGGGCTCCCCCTTCTGCTGGAAAAATCCATTTCTCCTGCCTCTGTCCTGCACGTTGGAGGACTCCATGATCTATCAGAGCAGCGCCACGGAGAACACAAGCACCAAGAACATAGTTTTATTGCCCAAAGCGGGACTGGCAGGTTGGGTTGTTGCTTTAACAGTGTATTTTTTAGCAGGTTAGAGATAATTTGTCCCTATGACAGCTTGATAAACGGTTGGATCAAGCCCTGAGTCTGTTGCTTGAGTCAGGCTGGGAGTCTCCGTTACAACCAGGATCCCTGCAGTGTGCTGTCTGCTGGCCCTGTCTGCTCCCAGGAGGGGATGTTCCCTGGGGAACCGGGATGCTGGGTGCCACCGTGATGGCTGCCGTGGCCACCACTCCTGCAGTCCTCAGGGACCAGAGCTGCTGGCGCGGGGCTGCAGGCGCTCCCCGGGGACATGGGCAGCCAGGTGAGGCCACCGGCCGGGCTTGCCTGGCTGCGTGGGGCGCGACGGGT